GACCCTGAAAAAAATCTGATTCTGTGAACCGGCACCCCTGGTGCGTGGTGTGACCACCACCCCCAATGGCTTCATCGCCCGCTGTCCTCTCCCGGCTCCCAATTCCCCAGCTGTCCGGGCCGCGCGCACGTGCGCGCGCCCTGTGGGCCCCTGTGGCCGGGACACGAGCGGCGAGTGGCAAGTGGAGGTTGGGCGGGGCCTCCCGCCGGGTCAGCCCGCAGATGCCACGCCCCTCACCCGGTTCTCTCTCCCGCATCCCGTGGCTCCTGGAACACGCCGTCCGGCGCCCCTGGGTGCAGGGCTCGTCAGTTGATCGCGTCCTGTGGTCTTTCTCTTCTGCCTCTGACCTCGCCTGGACCGCTAGTCCGCTCACTGCCTCCCGCTGCCTGTCTGCACTGTCTCACCTGCGCCGCGGGGTGTTCGGGGCCCGTCCGCCCCGGCAGATGCATGTCCCCAAGGGCTCCCGGGCCTTCCCCTGGCGTGTCCGCGCTGCCTGCCGGGGCATGTGTGTGCGCGCTCGCGGCTGTCCCCCGCGGACGAGGCTCACTCCGCAGACCCAGCAGAGGGAGCTCCCAGCCCGCCCCCTCCCCGCCCCTGCTGGGAGTGGTGCTGGCTTGACCAGGCAGGGACTGCTCAGTGACCGACTCCCTTTAACGGGAACAGAGGGAGGGCAGGTGAGGAGTGCTGCAAACCGCGAGATATCGTGACAAAACACTTCTCCCTGTTTTAGGTGATAACCGGTCACTTGGTTGGGGTCAAGTCAAATCAGCAAGTTTGGGAGGGGGGTTGTGCCCCAATTCCGTGGACATCAGGCTAGTAGATTACATGAATTTAACAAGGCTTACAACAATTAAAAACCTGTCGAGAAGATAGATCCCATGTCAGGAATTCTTATCACAATAAAAATTTTTAAAAGGCAGTTACGGACCCAGGTATCTGTGAACATCTCCGCTGGCCACAGGATCAGTTGGGCCAAGAGACTCTAATCTAATGCCTGAGAAGGATTCTCACCCCTGTAGGCCGGGGTCTCTGTGCTCCGTGACTGTGGAAAGGCTGTCCAGTTGGTCAGCTCACTGGGCAAATGTTTTTCAAACACCTACCATATGTCGGGGGCTGTTCTAGGAAGGGGAGATAAATCAGTTCTCAAACAGACAAAAAAGAGAGAAAAGCCCCCAGATTCTTCCTTCCTGGAGTGTACCATCTATTTGGAGAGTCAAACAAAAATAGAGGGTGTCGGTGAATTACATAGGATGCTAGCAGCTGTGTGGTGGGAAAAAAAAAAGAGATTCAAGCAAAGGGCTCAGAACACTGGGGATGGGGATTAAATAGTGGGTGGGAGTGGGTGGCATTTGAACAAAGGCTGGAGGGAGATGGTGTGGTGGGTGTGTAAACTGGGGAAGGAGCATCCAGACGAGCATTCCAGGCAGTGGCCCTGAGCAGGCCGGCGGGGTGCGTCCACAGAACAGCGAGGGGCCAGAGGGGAGGAGGGGAGGGCAGCCCTTCCAGGCCATCTTAAGGACGCTGGTTTTACTGGGAGGGAGGTGGAGAGCCGCAGTGGGTTGGCAGCAGAAAGAGTAACGAGATCTAACAAGTTTACAAGGGATTCCTCCCCTGCTTGGATTGCAGACGGTCACACACTGAACTCAGCTATGCTTCTTGGCTGCTCTGTCGCCTGCTGGCCCTTCTGAACCCCATCCTCCAGCAGGTCTCCTGGCAGATGCAGGCTGTGAGCCCTGTGTACACGCTCCCCCCAGGCCCGAGCAGATGCTCAGAAACAGACACCTGCTTGGTCCAATTCTGGGCATCAGAGTTGGCTTCTGTGTATTTTTCCTGCCCTCTTCTCTGTCCCAGGAAGACCATCCCACACCGGGATGCCCTTCTGGCCTGGAGAGAAGGAGCAGGAGGCGTCAGAGGCGGAACGGTGTGGGTAGGGGGAGCAGCCTTTCTCCGCTTCCTCTGGCTTCTGTCCTGGGCCAGCCCAGCCCTCTGCGCTGATGGCCCAGCGGTACACGCTTCCTTAGTGCTTTCTCTCGTTCTCTGCTGTGTGAGCCTCCCTGTGGGGCCGTGGGGATGAAGGGCAGTGATCAGTTGCTCCATGAACAGGGCAGGACCTCAGGGCAGGAACCTGAGGTCTCTTCCTTCCTTCCTGGCTCTTCTTGCTGAGCATACCTGGACTGGCCAGAGCAGAAGGGGCTTTAAGTCAAAAGGCCAGTTTGATTCTCCTGCACAGGAGGGAACCACCCCAAGCCCTTGGAATAAACATGAAGGAAAAAGTTGTCATAGAACAAAAATGAAACACGTTCCTAAAGATGAAATGGATTTCTCATATGAGAGGGAAAAATGGATCTCACATCCCATTCTGTCTGCTCCATTTGGTTTAATGAGTAGGTCTACTTGGAAACATAATATATTTCCTTTCTATCAGCTCCTAATGAATACAGTGAAGTGTGGCCCCTGTCTGAGGTCAGGTTGTCTGTTCACCCCTTGTCCGGTTTGCTACTGACATTAAACTAGTCGAGTCGGCATCGTGTCTGGGTTAGAGACTAGGGCGATAGTCCAAGATGAGGGGAGGTCTGGGCAGGCACTGCTGGACTGTGCTCTGCCCCAGGGCTGTGTGCTTGATTACCTTTTACCTGATTTCCCCAAAAATGCAACCCCAGAGGGGAAACCTCTAGATAAGGGATGGGCTGGTGGCCCAGGTATGGCAGGGTACGCGAGGCCACTAGAGAGACACTTCTGGAACTCAGCCCAGAAGACTCAGCAGTCCACGCCAGACTTTGTGAGATATTCCTTGCTGAGCATTCCTCCTCTCCAATAGTAACCCCCACCCCACTGAGTATGGCCACCTACAGCCTCAGACCCACACGTGTAGGGGTGTGGGTGGATCGGTGGGGTGTTCTGGAGACTGAGAGGGAACAGGGAAGTATAGCCCCTAAACACTCTGACCAGGAGAGGGGCTCCAGGATAAACACAAGACGGGAGTCCTGGGAGAGAGTGTTCATGGGTTCTCTTCGTGGACACGTTTTCATTTGGATGAAATTCCATTAAAATGAACACCGTGAAGTTTCAAGGCAGAAAAGTCACTAAGAATGAGCCTCAGATGTTCTGTGACCAGCAGAGGTACCCACTCCCAGTCTTTATCAAGTCTTACTGAAACTCCCAGGAGTGACAGACTGTTCACCTGGCCATATCTAAGGGGCTGTTTAACATGCCTTTCACTTCTGGCCAAGACGAGGCAACAGGGACTGAATATACCTTCCTACTTGAAATAACCAAAAAATGAACAAAAGTATATGAAACTGCAGTTTTCAAGACATGGGGCATCAGGCAGCAAAGGACAGTGATCTATGAGACATGGAAAATAAACAGTGTGCACCCCACAATTGCCTAGCTCACTGCCTTGAAAGAGTTTCTAGGTCGTGGCAAAACAAAGAGAAATCCAAGAAGACTCCCAGGTTTAAGAAGAAGTCATTGGGAGTCAAAGGAGACCAGGGCAGCCAGAGTTCCCTAGAGAGACATTTGGACAGAGAGAGGACTCCAGAGACCTTCAGAGGGTCCCCCACAAGTTTTGGTTGAATATTAATCATCTATTCCCACCAGTCAGACTGATCATTCATAGGAACAA